AAATTGTCTCTCAATTTTTAAGATTAAGTTTTTAAAATTTTCAGTAATTAAATAGAGAATTTGCCTTAAAATACAATTAAGTTTTGATTCTTATGAATTCTATAAATGGCCAGCAAAACAGCAAGGGAGTTAAGATTCACTTTTTATAAATTTTATAATTTTGGCATGACAGGTCTGCAGAACAGGAATGGATTTTTTTTTTAAACATATATAATTGGTTAAAAAAAAAGGGGAGAAAATTTTAATATAGTAATGTGATGACTTAAATTTTAATTATTTTTAAATATTAAATATATCCAACAACTACACTTGGATCTCACGACACAACGATCATAAGTCAATTTATAAGATGCATCTCTTAACCTTCGGGGTTGAGGATTGATTCCTCCGTCCCCAAATTTGTAACCTTGTTCAAAAATATATATATATCCAATGATTATGAACGGGAGTGACACATGGATGTTAAATCAAGAGGAATTAGTTTCAGCTGCCCAAATTAATTACACATTATGATTAAATGAATGGTTACAAATTATGAGTCTTTTTTATCATTTCATGGCACAAAAATTACAAAAGCAAATCAATATTTATATTTCACAAAACAAAAAATCAATATTTATCATTTTAAAATTCCCACTGATGAGAGAGATGGTTCAGCCGTGGAAAAAAATTTATAATTCTTTTTTATTGCTGCTGCATCATCTCATCTAATCGAATTCATTAGAATTAATTTTTTTTTTTGTTGATTTAATAAAAAGAAGTGTAAAGAGGGCATTCAGAATGAGTAGGAGGTAATGTAAGGGTGGTGTTATTGCCACAGCCACTACTGTTAATACCACAGCTTTTTTTAATTATTTGACTATTATACCCCTCATTTGAATCCAACTTGCAGCAGTCACCACCTTCTCCGCGTGGGTTAACCTGTGAAGCTGTGGCAATAAAACCACCCGTAATGTAATTCATCACCATAATCAGCATAAAATCAAATCATCCTCATCATGCCCTGATTCAATTCAATACCACCAAAAATAAATTTATAATCTTGAAGAAGAAGAAAGAAATTGTGGGTTTCTCTCAGACAAATGCCTCGATTGTCGTCAGGATTGAAAGAATGGAAATAGATCGGACTCGTCATCGTTTTGTTCATCACAGAGAAACCCAACAGCTCGCTAATGTTAATAATAATAATTCAATAAAAATCAAAGACGAAAATCAGAGCAACTACAAAGAGAGCATAAGAAGAAGAGAATTGCTGTGTGTTGCGGAGGGGTGTGGTTCTGCGACTGCTTGTTTTATAGGCGAAAGGGAAATTAGGGTTAGGGTTTCACCTCTAAATTTACTCCCAATTTATGTCCAATTTACCAATATGCCATCCTTTACCCCACAAATAGGATCGCGCCACGAATGCTGACACGTAGGACTTGTGCAACGCTATTATTTTTTTCATTTTTTAGGGTAAAAATTACATACTTTCTTTTCAATCTTGTGGTGAAAAAAATATATTCACAAGTACGGATGTACACAATTCATTCCACGAAAAAAAAAAATCTTCTTGACCTTAAATTTTGACTACTTTAGCTTCGACTAATAACATTTTTCGTGCTCTAATTTTTGTTTCATTTTTTTTATTTTAAAAATATATAAAATATTAATCAAAATAAATATAAAATACATTTTGTATATTTTAAAATATCAAAAAAATATCTTATAATTAAAATATACTGAATTACAAAATACTAACCGTTAAATTAAAAAAACCCCTAATAATAGAAGAAAACCTCTTTATTTAATTGTTAGCATCTGTAACATACTATAATTCAAATGGTAAAATCTTAAACTCTTAAAATACCCCCCCCAACACACACCCATACACACACATACACATATACATACACATATACATATACATATACATATATATATATATATATTTGTTCCTTAATGCACAAGGACCTAACTGCTTCAAAAAGAAAAAAACATCCACTCGCTCAATTGAATTCAATCCAAGGTTTATTTACCATTCAGAGAAGTTTAAGGTTGATAATGAAACAGGCTTCACATGGACAAAATCTAACTTTAGGTCTTCCACCAAAAAAAAAAAAAAAAGGAAGCATACTGAACCTAGACAAAGTGAAGTACCAAAGCCCAGATAGGATATACTATCAGAAGGATGATGCCAATGGTGTTGGATATTCCATGTCTCTGTGTGAAGGAATTCCTGAATCCACCCGAAGCTCGAATGTGCTCTTGCAATAAGTAGCAACCAATGATGAGGCATATTAAAACACCAACCCAACTCCGCTTCAGGGTCTCTGCAAAGAAGCTGGGAGCAACAACCAGCAGAAGAATCAAGCACCCCGGCATCTCCAGCCAATCTGCCAAGAGTTCTAATAAGTGAATGGTTCTGACAAAGGGAAATGAACTTCAACTGTGATATTTAGATGAAGCATACATCCAGTATAAAGAAGTGCTCAGCAAATCCACATTTTGACTTTCTTTGATAGATTTTAAGGGTGATTGATGTTTTGAGATGGAGAGAGTCACTTAGTACAAGAATTCTAGTAGAAGGTATATCTTCTGGAAACAAGGTCAGACAGCGGAACAAAGCCATGTAATCTCTTAAAACTTATTTTGCATTTCATTTGATTTATGAAAATCTACATGGCGCCCAAAAAATCTGAATGTGTTTGGGCATATATCGTAGATCAGTAGCAGAGGAACATAAAGCAAATCTACGCAATGGTGCAGTAGTGAGTGTGTAAGACAACCAAAGAAGATGCTCCACCTGGTATATAAAAGCTAAATAAACAGCAAAGAATCAAACACAATGGTCATGCATCATGGATTCATGGTAAATTCATAGTTTCTGAAATGGCAGATTAGAAGTAGATTCATAGTCAACATTCAAATGATTTGGCCCAGGAAAAAACCATTCAAAAGCTTTCAGCAGAGAACTTCAATACAAGTTCCGATTTCATCCCAGTACCTGTAACATCGTAAAGCGAGCATGCACATGTGGTGTGTGTGTGTGGGGGGGGGGGGGGAAGAGGTAGGGAGGGAGGGAGATGATGGTAGTGGTTGTATTTTCCACTTCAATCTTATACAGATTAACATTATTACATTAAATGGAAAAAGCATACCCTAGTGTTCGATTAACTTGAAAGTGTACCTGGAAAATGCCTTGGGAAGAAAAGCCTCAGCACAACAGCAATGAAAGCAATCCATCTCCCAACCTCTCCTCTGAATATAACAAAATTTACGATGAACTTAAATTCAGTGGAAAGATATATAGATAAAGAATGATGGAACAGGAACAAAAAAAGAGCAGTTTTGTCACCTAAAAAAATTGAACACCACCCAAGGAAGACTGAAGAAGATGTATGGCACCAGAAGTGATGTCAACATATTTGTTCTCCAGTTTGTTCGATCCAGTATTAACAAGTAGCTGCAGTCAGCAAGGAGAAGAGAAATCAACAAAATGAACCATGAAATTCAATCTAACAAAGTGGAAATGCAAATTATGAAATTACACAGATAAATAAAATACAATCAACTCTAAAGATAAGGTACTAGGCAACAATGGAGAAAGATTTTTTTCATAGGTATATGCAAGTCACAATTCATATCATACTCAAACATATACTAACAAAACAGAAAGTTACATATGGTACAACTCAATCACTAAACCAAATAACAAACTAAATGAAAGCAAAATATAGTTGGACCTGCACACAGCAGGATCGTGGCCTCTGACTTGGCACTACGCTAAGGCTTCAGGGGCCAACATTGGAGAAAGTTAAGATGCATAATTGAGCAATATCATTCAAGTTGAATAGTTGGTTCAAGGACAAAAATAAGAGAAATGTCTGTCTTCAAATATAAGAATAACTGAACAATAATGCAAATGAGTTTCCTGTTACTGGAAAGTTCTCTATATCTACTTGTTGTCTTAAAGAAAATGTTCAACATGATTGTTATAACCCACATTTGCAGGTACTAACATTCTATTTATTTCCCCAAACATATTAACATGCTTAAATGAGAGAAATATTACAAAGAACAGGCAACTTTCTACTCTTGCCTTTTTTTTTTTCCATTTAACAGTTTCATGATGTCTCAAGTCATATCCTTACAACAGAGTACTGAAAATTTTTGGCATAATATTCTTTACTGAACTTACCAAGTACTATTTCCAATTCTATTGACATAATAAGCCAGAGTCTTGATTTCAAATGTTTACCAACCAAACTATACTAAAGCACTCGAAGTCACTTCTTCAAAGTCCTAGCAAGAGATACTTGCTCTGGCTTATGCTTGACTTCAAACTAGCATACAAGTAACAAAAACTATTCATTAGTTAGCTGTCCAGACCATTGGTCACAATATTGGCCCTTATTCAAACTGAGTAAACCAATCACTCTATCAGTACACATAATTTTAGGCAAAACTATACATTTTTTTTTATTTAATAATGGTCAATGGATAATACTCTATTGTGAGACACTCAGACAACCTTACATTCACATTTACTGTGAAGTAGTAATACTAATACATACAACTAACATTCAAACTAACTCCATCTTCCAATATAAAATTTGACGAAAAGGAACTTAATCCAACCAGGAAAAACTAATACAATACAAAATTTAATCAGATGTCATAGAACCCACAATACCACCTAACATTCAAACTAACTCTTTTATTTCCAATAAAAAGTCAAACTAAAAAAGACGGTAAAAATTTATAATATAATCACTTTCCATATGGAAAATGATTCACCCCCACAACGTCATGTCACAACAGTGGCTTCGTTTGCCGGTGCTTGTGTCAGAGGCTTTTGTTTTCTGACAATAATTATTATACTTACAATTACATTCCCGGCATGTCAGTTTTGTTTTCACACTGAACTCCTGAAGCCAACCAAAATCATATCTTGATGATCAAAACCCAATACAAATCGCTCGAGAAGAAGGGCTAACACAAAGCAGCAGGAAATGCAGAATTAATATCTAACAGGGTCAAGAACACTCACATAGCAGCAAAGGAAGCTACCCATTTGAGGAAAGAAGTTCCAAACCCAAGCCCCCCGAGCTTAGTTGCATCGTTGATCAGCTTCTTTGCGGCAAGCTTGAGCTCATTGATATCAGAACCGATCAAATCCTCTGCAACCGGATCAGTTTTCATCGCCAGATAATCGATTCTCCCCATTTTCGTCCGTCTTCTCCCAGATCTGAATGAAGGAAATAGCTGAGCAACAGCGGAGATATAGAGAAGCTGAAAAGGATTGTGCTCTTCTCGATCTTAACTGCGAGGGGCCCTCGGATGCCGATGAGTGGAAGGGAAAAAGGAAAGGAAAAGGTACGATCTTCCAGATCGGCTTTGACCGTTACGGTACCGGAATGTGGTACACGTGGCGTTTGATTCGAAGGAAACAGTATTCGCGGAAGAGACTCGAACCTACAATATTGGGCCCTGCTCACTATTGAGTATTGACATATTCGGAATCCAGTTGTTGGTAAACATGGCCGATAAATAACATGGGCCTTGGCTTTTTTTTTTTTC